AGTAATCTAGCCTAACCAGATACCTAGAAACCATATAATTGTCCTTCAAATTATCAATATTCTGTAACATGTCAGTCACATATCTGTATATATATATATATTTATGCTTTTAAGTGTTGGGACAGATATTTCAGTTAAATATAAAACAATGCTTCCTTAGTTACACATTTAAAGTTTTATTTAATACCAATATTAAACATTTGTTTAGAATACATCAGTTTCCCTGGGGAATATTGAAATATTTTCAGTATATACCCATAAACCATTAAATATACCCATATTCTGGTAACATATGTCTCTCTCTATAAATTTATAATCATACTCTGCAAAAGTTGACTCTCTGGAACAGTGATATCATTCCTGCTATAGAGCTTCCCAAAATCAAGAATAGTGGAATGATGTGGATCATTCTGAACTTGGATGTAAACCCTCAGTTAAAAGACAGTCTGAATACCACAGGCTGAGTGTACTAAAAGTGATTTCCCACAAGATTTGTGCTCAGAAGGCACAGTTGTTGGCAGTCAGACAGTCACACACAGCAAATATGAGAACAAAGATAGTACTAATTTGTAAGCGTTATATTCATTATTCATAGTATACAGTTAGTTGATAAATGGAAAAATGTCACATTTGTAAGCACATTTTTTTTAAGTTTGGGAAATGCAAATGCTCAGCTCAGAAACACTGTTTTGAGATTTAAAGAGTTTTGCTGATCCACTGTTTTCCCTTAGAAAACCACAAGCCAGGTAGACCACAAGAAGCAAACGGTAAAAAAATGACAAAACTATGTATGAACTCCATGTTATTCAAGGATACAAAAATTTAGGAGGAATACAGGAATAGACTAAATAATATTCTAAGCTGCTTTAAGTTATCAGAAAAATATGTTAGCATCAGACTGGAAAAATGTCTAAAATTAGGCACCAGTTTTCACAGAGAATATTATTTGATTACAGGGGATATAAAAAGGTATGTGTGTTGGCGTGAAACTCGGGATAATATCAGAGGAGGCTATTTCCAGTGCTTAACATGGAACCTGGGGAAAAGATGGCTTTTAGGGAACTGTTATAAATGTCTCTGTCTACAGCATCTACTTCCAGTAGTTGCTGTTACAGATTTTTGACCTACATTTTAGGTCACAAGGTATGTGTCTGAACGTGAGCTTTCCTAATTCTGTTTAAATTCAGGTTTTTCTGGGAAGGAAGACGTTAAATCTCTGTTTTCCATTAAATCTTTGCTGTGATCCAGTTCTAGGTGTCAGCTAAATAAATTCTTAGGAAGCACCAGGAGACCTGACTGAGGCAAGGTGCCAAATACATACCAAAGTCCAAGGCCTCACAAAGAGCCATGGAAAACGCTAAAAAAATAGCTTGGCAGGAATAAAGAGCTGGATCATGGCAATCACTGACATATTTCTGTTCTCACTATGATAATTGGCTGTTTTCAACCAGGTGCCTCCTCAGTGGTATTTGTCAGGGAAGGATATTTCCTGGATATATCCAAACCTCCCTGGTGACTCTCAACACGTCTTTGAGATGTCCGTTGGATGCTTCTTACATACAAGGCCCCGTTTTTAGGTGTCCACCTGGTCCTAAAGTCTTAACAAATTTTGTAAATGAAAACCGTGGATCTTACTTAGATATAGGAAGTCCATTAAAGGAATTAAAAAGTAGGCAGTGCTATTTTAAACTTACGAAAGCTACAATCTTGAAATGTAGGTTTTGTTGTTTTAATTCTTCCTACCAGTTGGAAGTGCGAGCACATCTCTTTTTCTTTATGAGTGAGTCAAAAATTCTATCTTTTAGACTGAAAAGGACTCTATAATTTTCCTTCAAATTGCAAATGAAAAGACAGTCACTGACCACAGTATAATTGCACTGCTCTATCTCAATAAGTTAGCTATAAAAAGACACGTTTGTTCTAACACACACATCTCTTTGTTTCCAAAAAAGCAGTCTATCTTGAAATTCGGCATTTGGACAAGAAAGCCAGCAGAATGTGTAATTCAGAGGCCATTTGTGTCAGCTTTGTTTGAAATCCTACTCTAAATCTGAATGACAGAGAAAGAATGTGGCCCCCATTCATATGACACGAGCTGAAAAATTACGAGCATTAACAGCTTTCCAGTCATCTCCTTGAAACCTGCAACTCCATTTGTAGTGGATAGGGTTTCTCAAAACACTATTCCCCACATCTAATGCTTCAGACCATGGCATTTTGTAACACATTCATCCAGCATATCACATTCACATGGCATAGCACAACCACTGAAGGAAAAACAAAGGAAAAATAGCAGAAGATTAATAGATGGTGAAAGTGTGGAGATAAGGCTGAAGGTAAGCAAATATATTAACTATAACTCTGTGCTCACTACGCTAATCTGGAAAGGAAGCATCTTCAAATCTGAAATAGGAAAGTCATACCTAAAATTGCATTTTAAATTTTCATATTGAAGTACTTTTCAGTGGGTAGGTACCTGTATTTAACTGTGTGGAATGAAACAGAGTATTTGTGAAGCATTATATAAATTTTTTTGGTAAATTTGTCTGAACTCCTTCACAACAGAATGCATGAATTTTGCTTATGCTGACATTTAAGGTTACCCTTGAAAGTAACCTTTTTCCAGCTTGACAAAATGGTCTTCTCTGCCTACATCTTCATTTACCATCTGCACTGCAGACCAGTACATTTCCTTCTTAAACCTTCCCAGAATCCCTTCATGAAAAAATGAAATCATTGCCATCTCTGCTTTCAAACTTGACACTGATTATGACAGAAAAAGAAAATAAATTAAAGGATTGAGGTATCCTGAACTTCTATGGGTAAAGGCCTACCAGGAGAGGAGAGAAAAGAGGGATATTTTACAAGGGCATGTAGTGATAGAGCAAGGAGGAAAGACTTAGATTAGATACTGGGAAAAAATTCTTTGCTGTGAGCATAATAGGGCACTGGAATAGGATGCCCAGAGAAGCTGTGGATGGTGGAGGTGTCCAAGGCCAGGCTGGGTGGGACTCTGAGCAACTTGGTCTGGTGGGAGGTGCCCATGGCAGGAAGGGTTGGACCTTGATGATCTTTAAGGTCCCTTCCAGCCCAAGCTATTCTATGCTGACACAAGTGCATAGTGCATGCATTGCACAGCCTAATGCCCACAAAATCAGTTTTCTTAGGGTTAAGCTAACTCAGTTTCTAGTACAGGTGTTTAGCATCTCTGGATTCCTGTCAAATACAGTCACAAGTGTGTCAGTGGCCATGTCACTAGTTCCCTGACATCACAATAATTACTAGCAAACTTCTGTTAATTCTGGAGAAGTCTGTACTTCCCCCTACTTTAACTTAATCAAAGACAGAACTGAGTGGGATTTTATGTATTACATTTGAGCTCTGCTAACAAATAGCAACATTCCAGATCAAAATAGTTGTTTATAGTTGACATGGTAAGAAACACTAAAGAGGTAAGCTGTGAGGTAAATTCATTCATGGAGGAGAACTTTAGGAACACTTTGAATTAAGCTCAGTGTTTTCCTTCCTACTGTTATCCTATTTGAAAAAGAGGCAGAAAAATTATACTAACAATAGTTGTATATAGTCAGGAACATTGCAACTGTTGTTAAACAAAAGTGCAAATAAGAACTTATAATGTAACAGTTTATAACTAATGTAGAATAAAACTATATTAATCCTATTAAAATATTAATTGATTTTGAATTTGAAGCAACGTAACAACCATAGAAAATAATACATACATATCCAATCAAAATTTGCAGAGAGCTTCTTGATTTTGCAATTAAGAAATTTGATTTCCTACTTCACTGAAGTTGAGATAATCACAGAAAATGTCAAATTTACAACATAATGAATCCACTTCCTACAAAACCAGACAATGTACGCTTAAAATGCAGAATATTGGTCAAAGTCTCTCACATCCAAATTCTACCGTAAGAGAAGAAACACATTTTTGAAAGTGGACATCAATATGTTAAAAATTATGCCTTGAAATCATACTGTCTTCAAATGCAAGCACAAGATAAAGTAAATCTTAAATATAAATGAGATAATCAAAATAATTATCTTAACAGTCTCTCTCTCATTTGTCGTTCTCAATTTGAAAATTCAATCAACAAGATACAGACAGTGTTTTTGAAAGCTTTCATCAGCCTCCACTACTCTCTAGTAGTTATCCCTATTAGAGAGGAAAACTAAAAAGAGAAATTATGACAAAAAAGTAGCAAACTGCCAAGGTATGAAAGGACAGAAATACAATTGTTAAAGACATCCTCTTTCATTTCTAACCTTTCTTTGAACTGGCATATAAATGAAAGGTAACATGTTCATGAAGAGAATATAATTTGACTTTATTACCTCATCATAACCAGCACATTATAAACTAATTTGGGATACTCAAAGTTAAATAGAATAATGCACAAAAAAAGCCTATCCTTGAATTAAGGAGCTCTGAAACATACAAAGTACTTAATTATGATTTTCTCAGCCCAAACTGCTTTTTAGTAATTTTTAATGGATTTTTTCTTGATTTCACTTCTTTTCCCTATCGTCTCTGAGGTTGCCCCAACCAATTTTTAATTCTCTTCATACATTAGAGCTTCATGCATTTCCAAACTTTTCTTCTTCGTCTGCTACCTCAGATACTAGTTTTCAAAAACCTGAATCTAATTACAGGTTGATGAACTACTACGGACAAGCAACTTATATTGTAACTAAGCAGAAAAAGTCATATTTCAAAGTCTTTCAAAACTGCAAAATAGAAGTTCACAGAAAATCTTTCCACAGGGGTTTTAAATATATTTGCCATCAGCAACAAACAATTCATAGTATAATTCAAAATTGCAGAACAATATATATGATTTTCCTACAAAACAGTAACTTGTCACAAAAACCAGAAAAAAAGTTATTAGCAATTCTGTTGAAAATCATGTGTTCAAAAAATGTGAATATTTATAGCAAGTAACATTTACTTCTTAGATTTATGTATAAATTCTTACCTAAGCTGTTTAAAAGCTTCTGCTTTCACAAGTGGTGTTTCTACAGAATGTTCAAAAAGTGCCCCTTCAGGTCCTGCAAAAAAAAACCAAAAGATGAAAAACATTGTAATGTAATAGCTCAAATATAACACAAAAATAGCAAGAGTGGCTTTTTTAATATGGCCATTTCGATGTTGGACATCAAGAGAACACATGTTAAGAATTAAAAGACAATTGAAATACAGCTATGTTATTACCATTGCAGTATTGGTTGGACAAATACAATATAGAAGTAATGTAAATGTACAGCTTTAAATTATTAAAATGGTCTGAAGACAGATAAATTTTAAACTACTTACAGAAATAAAATAAATAAATAAGATTTATACAATGTAACTTTCAATACAGTTACTAGAGATAATTAAACCCATACAAAATCTTTGCAAATGCTACAATCCTAAATAATCATATTTATTTTAGACTGCTCCATGCACATCACAATTTCTGTCATATAGCTTCATCAAAGATTTTCCCCTATTTACAGGCAGACTTGCTGAATATGAAATGGTGTTTCTGCAAGCAAGATGTTAATGACAATGGGATCAGATAGTTTACACCTTGATATATGTGTAGTTTCATTCCAAAGAGGAAGAAACAGCAGGCACCCAGCCTCACCAGGAGCCTGCTCAGGTCTCTGTTGGACCTGAAAATCTTCCAAGGACCTCGATTTCTGCTCTCCTGAGTATTAGCATTATTTCAGTGTCACCAACCCGGTGACCACCTTCCACCTAAGCTCCACTAGGATCAGGAAATCAGCTGCCGTAGGACAAAAGCCCCTCAGCAACAGAGGCAGCTCAAAAAAAGCAGCTGAACACCACCACCTACAGCAAGGGTGGAGCCTCTCAACTTCTGTTCCTTGGCTTTTTGAGTGTACTCATCAAAAATGGAGAGGTCTTAGGTTGAGAGATCTTCTCTGGCTTTGAGGATTCATATACCTGAGCACATTGAGGTGAATACGTAGCAAGGCAATATATTTTAATAGTCAGGATATTAGTCAAGGTGGCTTGTCTGGCTGCTCTTTATGCCATTACCCTCTGGAAAGAATTCTGAGCTGTAGAAATCCTATGTTAGGGATTTGGGCTCTGTCTAGACAGAGAATAGCAATGGAGGATTAAAAGGTATGGGGTAGATTGTATAAATGTGGTATTAGATTCTATTAAATGTGGTATAAAGGGAAAAAGAGAATTAAAAATTGGTTGGGGAAACCTCAGAGAGCATGGTAAAAAGAAAAGAAGTGAAATCAAGAAAAAACATTAAAATTAATACATTGCTGAGCCAACTGATAGGAAGAATGTCTCTTCATGAGGATTGCAGGAAAATTCTCAGGATGTCCTGAGAAGGCATAAAATGTGCCGCTTTTTGAAAAGAGTTTTAGCTGAAATCCCGATTTCCTAGAATGAAATCTCCTTGGATGGAAGAGAAGAACACAAGAATTACCATATTAAATCACTTCACCACTTTGAGCAATCATTGATTTACTAAGCTTGAATTTAAATTTTATTTAGCTGTTGATACTCTTATAAATTTAAATAGATTAATTTTTCTGTAAATTACAAACTGGCATGAATATAATACTGGAAAATATAGAATTTATTAATTCAGACAGAGCATTAACCCTGCTTCATTAACATTTCAGTTCACGTTCATTAACATTAAGAATATTCTGCAGCTTAAGGAATTAAAAATGTTTATCAGAAAATGCTAATTTGATACAACTAAGATATTTTGCAGGGATATACTGATACGTCAAAAGTGCAGATGTGGCACCTGGGGACAAGATTTAGTGGTAGACTTAGCAGTGTTGGGTTAATGGTTCAGCTTGGTGATCTCAAGAGTTCTTTTCCAATATAAATGATTCTATGATCCCATGATTCTATAAAACAAGGAAGTGGTTACAGAGATAGTATCAGTTTCATGGAAATAGGGGCTAATGGAAAAAAGAGAACAGGAAACATCAGTGTTAATGTTCTGGGCACTGGCCAGATGGTGAAAATGGAATGAAAAGCTTATTTCTATATTCTAGAGCTGTCACCTCTAAGCACAAATAAAACCTTGACTTTAATGTGAGTAAAACTTCTTCATCAAACAGCATTAAGTTTTAACAGTATGCCACTAAAAGAAAAAAATCTCAGGGCAACCTTTTTTGGAAAATGGTCCTAAATTGATTTTCTGTCTTCATTTCCTAGTTTAACTGTGATATGACTATTACTATATTTACTATTTTTTAGACTACTGTTTATTAAGATATTGTAATTTATTCCTAAAATACACAAGAACAAGATACTAATTTTCTCCATGACAGGATTGAAGCCAGCAAGATTCATTAACACCCCACGCACCCTATCAAGCAAGGACCATTTGCCTTCTCAAAGCCTAACAGAATGTTTACTCATACCCTCAAATTGCCTCCTACTTAACTTACCTTCTGAGCAGAAGTGTTTAAATTAAACACTCACTGTCACATTGCACTTCAGCATTAGCTACGCAAACTGAAATCCTTTGCACAGAACAGTGCAAATACTCCAGGGGATTTTTATAAAAGACAAACAAGCAGAAGGGCAAGTAGTAAACTGGAGAAAGGGTGACAGAAATATGCTTCTCTGCAAAAAAACTGATCCTCTCTGCCCTGCCAGCTTTCCTTTAAGGAAAAAAAGCGTAGGTGTGGCACCTGGGGATGTGATTTAGAGGTGAACATAGCAGTGTTAGGTTTATGGTGGGATGTTAGAGATCTTCTCTAACCTTTAAAATTCTATGTTTCTATGAGCCTGCCATGACGACTTCATAGAACCAGTCAATACAGTTACAAGGTGGTTTCACTGTCACCAGTGCCAGCTGAATGTACAAAACCTTCCCAGAACGAAACATAGATGTTCAGTACTGCCACAGCAACATAATAAATGCCTGCAAAATACAGGTCCTTACTGAAATAATATTGAAGAGGATGCAGGTTTTGTCCATGCTCCTTCAGGAGCAGTAATTTTCACAAAGGGCTAAACTCAGCTTCAGTTTCATATACACTGAGATGTGTCTGTGATGTAGATGTCACAGATGAGCCAAAGGCAGTGTTTCTTTGCCTCCTCCTATGTCCTTACTGTCATCTGGGACACCCTTGTGTGGCCTGCCTGGCCTCCAGCTGCCACAATCACAGGAAGCATCTCCTTGAGATAAAGTGATACCATGTGGTGTCTGTCTCACACAGCCCAGGGTGTTTCACACGCAGCTGGATGTCATTGTTTGAGCATGTGAGCTCAGCCTCTATCCACTCTCCTCCAAGGGAGATGACAAGCCCTGGAGCCCTCCCCAAAGGGGAGAAGAGCATTTGGTGGGCACAAGAGCTCTGCCCAGGGCTGGTGCCGGCATCTCTCTGTGCTCCAGGGAAGCGTGACCACCCAGACCTGCCAGTGACCTGTCACAGACATCTTTTATGAAAAATCTTTTCTTAGGATTTTTCCTTGTGAGAAGCTGCAGTTTCAGCAACCAAAAGTAAACAATGGTTATCTGCTGCTGTGGAATGCAACAGGTAGACCCTGTGATTGGTCTCCTGTGGATGTTTGGATTTCCTGACCACTCATGGCAGAGCTGGCTCTTGCTCTGTCTGAGACACAGATCTTTGTTATTCATTCTTTTCTATTCTTAGCTTAGATAGCTTCTGAAGAAACCTTTTCCTTTCTATTTCTTTTTAGTATAGTCTAATGTAACATATATCATAAAATAATAAATCAAGCCTTCTGATCACAGAGTCAACATTCTCGTCTCTTCTTCATCCTGAAAACCCTTGTGACCACAGTCACAGTGACCCTGTGGGGTATCGGAGGCACGTTCCTGGTTGAGGCTTTGCCCAGGCATTTGCTCTTCTTTGATTTGCATTGTTCTATTCTACACAGGGGCCAGAGAATGTCTGATTGAAATAGTATGAGTTGAAACATACTAATTGTAGGAAAATGACAGATGTTGGGTTGGACTATATTACTCTTAGACATTTACCTTTGTCTTGAAATATCATAAATCATACACATTTGCTCTCTGCTATATTATATTTTAGTTGAAAACTGTCAGGTTTTCTAAAAATCATTACTGAGCTTTTCATCATTCACATAAATAAGGAGAAGTAAAATCAAATAGTTCACTACACAGTACATAAAAAACTGCAAAATGTTCTTTGTGTATTTTAAGCCAATGATTATCTGTTTTTCATGGTATGAACTTTTCAAAATTTATTTCACATTGATCTTATTCTCTATCTAAGATGTTTAAAAATAGTCTCAGTATATATTAGTGTTACTAATTTATCATTCATGCTAATAGTATCATTAAAATCACAATAATTTCTCCTTCATGCTAATAGTATCATTTAAATCACAATTTTAATAAATTAATTTGAAGCAAAGTAGGCATGAATCTCCTCTCACTTACATTAATTTTACACTGAAATAACCTCACTGACTAATGTATTTGCTTTTGAATTTTACTACAGTGTAAAAAAAAACCAGGCAATGTGTCTTAGTACAATATCTGCTGAAGTAAATAATTATTAATGCACTGTAAAGATTAATATTGGATGAGTGAGTCATTAATATTAGCATAACAATTTCAACTCGTGTATGAATGATTTTTACTTACTTTGAGCAGAGACAGACCTTTTCCAAATCAGTTAACAATTATGCAGTTTTTCATATCTTTGTTAAACATGCTTTTCTATTAAAGTTTAGCATCCCTTGGGCAAACAATAATTATTTGATATGGTTTCCTGGTTAAACAAAGTTGTAATTTCAATTAGGTTAAAAAGTAAAAAACCTTAAGATAAGACCCTCTGGCGTAAACAAAATTTATTAACACAATTATTATAACTTAACTTTGGCTTTGAAACACTAATTGTATAGTTACTACCATATTTATAGTTTTGACAGTGAAATAATATGAATCTATTCATTGAAATGAAGACCTCAAGATTCCAGAGGACCAGTAATTAGGGAAGGCCAAACATGACAGCTGCAATCAGGTAAAAAAATATTAAAAAATTAATTGAAAAGAAATTACAGAATAATTTCAATATTTCCTTTGATGGATTCTTCTGCTCAAAAAGAGAAATCACACCTTGATGTATCTATTTTAACACCACCTAGAAAATGAAGGTTGACTTTATCAGGTTGTATGAAAGGAAGTAGCTTTTCATGTGATAACTTTGACATATTACTTTGTAAATGAGTACTTCAGTGATTTGAAGAAACAGCCTAAGACAAACTTTTCTCTTGACAGGTGACATTTAAGATATACTACAAATATCTTCCTGTGACATATGTGCTACTCACAGAACAGAAATACAGTAGCTTTCACTTTGAAAGATAAAACCGTATAAAAATATCAGAGAGATATTTCTCTCCCCTAAAGTTTTTACAGATCAGACTCATTACTACTCAGAATGGAATATCTAGAATTTTTTCAGCTTCAGACAGTGTGCACTGGAAACATTAAATAATTCATAAAAAGATGGACCACTAAAGTTCCAGCTATTAACGGCTTTAAAATAAAACACACACATATTTACACATTTTATAAAATATTTACACATTATATATATATACACACACATATATATATATAAATTTCTTGCTGATTAGAAAAAGGTCAGATTATCTTCATATTTCTGTTTCCTAATGAGGTAAAACAAGAACTTGCATTCACACATAATAACATATTTAAAAATGCCATTCTTATTGTGCCTTTCATATGAGTGTTATCTGAGCATTTTTTAAACCATTACAAACCTGTGACTCGCAGCTTATCTGTGCCAATTACAACTTCATTTTCATCCACTGTAAAAAGTGGCTTTCCATCCTTTGAGTTGATCTGAAATTGCTGACTGTGGAATTCTACCATTTTAGGACCTGCAAAACACAGTAGAATAATGGAATAATTTCATAATTTTTCTTCAATTTTATATATAAATTAATAATTTTAATTGGTGTGTTAACAATGTAGTGACTCATTTAAGTACACTGAAGGGCATGAAGCACTCAGATATTCTAAGGATAGTGAACTTGTAAGTTCTGAAATTGTTTAAGTCTATTTACATGATATAATTTGTTCAAAACCATGTCTTGGAGTCTTCCTTTGTAGCTGGGTTTCCAGGGAATCTAGAAAATCCCACACAAATTGATCCAGACTAACATTTATGTCCTTGGTGTTGAAACTGCTTTGATCAAATGAATCTATCTTTTCTTTTTCTTTTTTCTTTCTTTTTTTTTTTGAAACAGAAACTAATTATCAAAGTCTTTGCAGCATCATCCCTTTTCATTAGGGAGACTCAAATGCTTTAAAATAACAAACATCCCATGTAAGAGCAGGACCTCAGCTCTTCCTAACAGATGCCAGTTTGGCTCCACTTATCTAACAAATGCTACTGATCATGTTTTTAAGGGTTTCAAGAAACTAAGAGAATATTTGCAATTGATTCTGGTACTCCAAAAATGAAAATAATATGAGCAAGACAGTCTGTGCATACTTCCAGATCCTAAATTCACTAAAACATCCTGTTCTACAGTATTGGCTTGGTAAGCAGATAAAAATCAAACCATTAATATTCCCTGTTCTAACATCCTGATCAATTAAAATTCACACCACATTGAGCCTGAATATCTATTACATAGAGTTGTCATCATAAATCTATATTCAGAATTAAAATTACAGAGAATGGTCAAAGCAGTTAAGATTCCTTTTCAGCAATTTTTAATAAATTTATTTCACAGACTATCCACGGGACTGAGAGGCACTGAACTGCTTCCTTCCCATTAAGAACCTGTTTTCCCATGTCTGCTCCCATAAATGTTAAATATATTTCAGGTAGTAATTCTCAAAAGAAATGGGATTTTTTTTTTAGCTCTTATGTTAAAGGGGCATTAAATACATGCAGGCATTTCACAAAATCTGGTTGGTAGCTGGTATGAGAGAAGCACACCATGAGGCTCCATACATATTGCTTATTGCTTCACTCAGCAGATGTAAAACATTGATTTTAACTGTCCACCAAACACAAAGAAAGAGTTAGAGAAGCCATAATGTCCTAAACGAGGGCAACAATTTCAAGAATACTGATTCTACCTGAAAATAATGAGGATAGAGAGCTCTGCATTACGTTATGCTCTGTGGCAAATGTGCACCCAAGCACAGCCTTATGGACCCCAATATGGCTCTTCTCTAAAGCTGTTCTGAAACCCAAGACTTCTTTTCTGAGAAGTATGTTGCAAAACGTGAGATCAGAAAATATCTTTGTCAAGAGAAAAGGCCTTAAACATTATTTTAAAAAAATTTTTTACAGCAAAAGAAACAGTTCCGGGTAAGTGAGGCAGGGATGGATCCCTGTCAGTGGTTTCCCAGAGAATCTTGGTTAAGGTTTTATTAAGGTCCCTTCCAACCTGAGCCATTTTATGGTTTAGTGATTGATTGTTCCTGTTTGTGCCCAGCAACAATAATGAAACTGGCCTTTTATGTAGTGTAGCTAGATCCTTGGCGTTTTCAAACAAATCAAAGGCCTGAGTAAAATGGATATTATCAACTTTACCAGTGCTCCAGGGGCTGGTCCCTCATCCTTCCCATTCATCCAACCCCATGATTTTAAAAGTTAGCTTAATTAAGGAAAAACTCTGCAGGCGGTGTGAGAGCACTTACTGAACATTTTGTATGTTCCAAAGGTACTTCAACTTGTCTCTCTTTGGAACTCTAACTCATGGCCGTGCCCATGCTGGATTTGCATTCAGACTGTTTGATCCTGGACCTTGCACACTTGAATAAATCTTTAAGAAGAATCTTTAGGTCCGCAGTTTTCTTAACACAAGTGCCCCACTAATGTGAGACAAGGACTGTCCTATAGATAATCTTCAATATCAGAGAATGGTATGAATAATAATTGATGTATTTTGAATCTTAAGAAGGAATGCTAGGGTAAACAAAATTGAAGCATATGTTTTATTCATGCTAGAGATGAGATATCTCAGGGTTTCAAAAAGAAATAATAGACTTTTACATAAATGGGAAAAAGTCTATGTAATGAAAAGGAGCAACTAATTTCTCTTAATGGTATTCCACAATACACACTATAAACTAGCTATATTGCAATAACACTAACTGTATCATAATCCCAGTGAGATTAATTTTCAACTCACAAACAGCAGCCAAAATCAGTATCTGAAAGTGTAATCTACTAATGCCTAAATGTGTTTTGTTTACCACTCTAGCGTATTAACTACATATAAATCAACTAATACTATATAATCATATTTGCTGATAAAATCCTATGATTAAAAATGCAACCTGACTGAATGCAAGTTATAGATAATATTTGTTTTCTGCTTGCTGTGAGATGTGTCACACGAATTTCCAGGTCAATGGGTTATTCTTGCTAATCAGGCTGATTATTGCCTATTGTTTCTGTGTGTTTCCTCCTTTAATGTGCAGTCCTGAAGCAGACCTTGTAAGTGATCTTCACATCACATACTCTTGACACTGAGGATGCTGCTTTAAATGGTGAACTTTTTTTTTACCAAAAAGAAACTGACATGCTGCTAAACAGTCTTCATTTTCATTTGTCCTCACTCTTTACTTCCCTAGAGACTTTCTGGGGAAGGAAGCTCTTGTTTAGTGACTCCATTTCAGTTGAAAAGCGTTTTAATAAACTGTCTTCTACTGCTACACAACCTTTGAATTCCAGGCCAATACAAATATAGATGTACCAGACAGCAAAGGATCTTCTGTCAAAAACAGGGCCAGCCATAAAATAAATATCTGCAAATGCTTAATGCCAATGAAATCTGAGGAGTCTGAAATTTGAAGAGTCTGCCTACATGTTACCAGCAGGCAGACTCTTCAAATAGTTCTGCCAAATACTAAGCATTTTTAGTGTCTTTAGATCTTTCAGAAGAAAAGGCTTTCCAACATTGGATTTACTTCTATCATTAAGTAATTTAATATCTTTTATTTTCTTGCTCTCTTTTCTTATCTGCCATTTCTAATTAACCTATGGCTGTCAGCTACTCTGTATGTTTTGCTCTTCTCCTACCACCTAGAATCATTGAAGTATTGGGTATAAACCAAAATCCAGACTGCTCTTTGATATTCCTATGCAATTTCCTTTTCCAGTTAATTTTTATTAAACTAAAGCACCTTACTTAAAATAAGATCTCATTAAAAGTGTATTAAAAATGTAATACTCCTACAGATTCAGTTCTCATTCCATGTATGATAGAATACAAGACCAATAAATGTAAAGTCCTTACTTTCAGAAACATAAAGTTAGGTATATTTTCATATGGAAAGGTATGGTATTTCATTAGAACAAAGGTATTACTTCAGGGAATGTGCACATTGCACATACACATTTTCTGTCTGTAACATACATCTCTCATAGGTTTGAACAACAACTCTAATACATTAATAGAACACTTGCTGCTCCTGTTTCCCCTTTTTCTCTCAGTTCTCCTTTTATGCAATGGATGAAACAATTATGTCCTCTCAGATCAAAGTAGAAGTGCCTTACTGTCACCACTGCTTACATTTTGTTGTGATCTGTGATTGAACACAGGTCTAGAGATCTTAAAAAATTGGTCACCTTTTCTCACAGGCTTAATGAATCCAAATTTTGTTGCATGAAGAACTTCACAGGAAAAGCTGAAATATACAGTCCTCAGACATATAAGGTGAAAAGGAAAATACTAAAGGAGATGAGGCATGATAATATGAAATATCCTGTATGCAGAGAGGATAGCTGATCTCTCATTCCTAAGTGAGTACTTTACTTTATCGTCTGTATAATGGATATTCTTCTTCTTCTTTTCCTTTTTTTAAAAAAAAAGAAATCCATGAGTGTATTTTCATAAGGTCAACTCATGCACTGTGTTTCAGCAGTATTCTAAGCCTACCTACTGGATCTGGGCAGAGGACAGTGTGAGAGGATCAGCTGAACAGATGGAGCATGATTCATTTCACAACATTCAATTCACAACTGCTGTCTAGTACCATTCTACATTCTTTTGTGTTCTCTGCCTGGCCTTCAGCTTATTTCAGATGTCCTAGAGTGTCTAGGATTTCTATATCAGACCAGAAAGTCTGACATGGGGTCTGTACGCAATGTGAGCCCTTCCAGCATGTCAGGTGAAGACTGGGCAAGATGGAATCACAGAAGAATGCAAGCCAGAGGTCACCTCTCTGTGTCCTACCTCCTAACTACAGCAGGGTCAGCTCAGTTGGAAGTTAGATAAAGGTGCTCAGGGTCTTGTCCAGATGAAGTTTTAATATCTCTGAGGAAGGGGATTTATCAGACTCCCTGAGCAATCTGTTCCCATGGTTAACCATGGAACAGTGGTGAGTCTCACCCACCCCTTCTATCCAGTTGCATTTTGCCTCTCTGCAAACCATGACCATTGCCTTTTGCCCTCTTGCTGTGCACCTCAAGTCTGGATTCATGCTAGCGATTGGACAGCAGGAAATGGCCTCAACCAAGAGAGCTTCAGGTTTGATATTAGGAAAAAGTTTCTCCACTAAAAGAGTGGTTAAACCTAGGAACAAGCTACCCAGGGAAGTGGATTCAGAAGTGTTGAAAAAATGAGTAGATGTGGCACTTTCTGATATGCTTTAGTTGGCATGGTGGTATTTGGTCAAAGGTTGGACTTGACCTTGGAGGTCTTTTTCAACTTTAATGATTCTATGATTTACTTTGTCTCTAGCCCTCCTAGTATGAGGTGCCCGTTAGAAGTTCTCCTTAAGCCTTCTCTTCTTGCAGGTTAAACAAACACAATCTCTTCAGACTCTTACACTTCATGTGCTTCCACTCCCTGGCCATCTGAGCAGCTCCCTGGATGGCTCGCAGCTCCATCCCAATGGAGAGGGTCTACAG